GTTTGTATGTTGGAAATTTTGTTCGGTAAAAAAATATAGGTGTGTTTGAAAATATAGAATAAAGTGAGAAACAAATGTTACCAGAACAGAGAAAGGTTTTCATAGTAAAGCACCGGATATTAACTAGCAAGTAAGTAAGCAGTCTAGATACAGTACAAATGACAGTTTTAAGCTAGGTGACAGTTCAGAAGAATGGTGGGACTCTGGAGGTTGTGCATTATCTCAACGAGGTCCACAAACTGGGAGCTCTGAATTAAGAATGAGATATTTAGAATAGTAGATGGTCACGTGGTTTAGTCAGTTTCAACATTAAATCATAAATAAGGCAAATCTCCTGGCTTTAATAATATGGTAAGGAGATAAAATAGGAAGTAAAAGTACCAGAAAAACAAGTCTTATCGAGACTTGCATGGTTACCATTTTAGATGTAATTTTCAATGTAATGCCGAGTCTTAGAATGAAGGAAATATCTGAAAACCTGATACAAAAGCTCACAAAGAAAATAGGAAAAAGTTAGGTAGGTAAGTAGAAAAATAAAAAGAAAATTGAGAGGTAATATACTAGAATAACATGAAACTTATAGTTGGTAGCAATTTTATGAAAAAGAGTCGACTTAAATTTTAAAAGTGAACTAGGTGAGTGGTATGCTGTGGATGGTTACAAAACATTATATAAGGAACTCAACACCAAAACACAAACAACCTAAATAAAAAGGCAGAAGACCTGAAATGATGCTTCTCCCAAAAAGATATACATATGGCCAACAGATATATGAAAAGAAGCTGCACTCCACTAGCTATTAGGAAAATGCAAATCAAAACTACAATGAGTTACCACCTCACAACTGTTAGGATGGCTATTATCGACAAGACAGGTAATAACAACTGTTGAAGTTGTAGAGAAAAACAAACCCTCATTCGCTGCTGATGGTAACATAAACTGGTACAGCTACTATGTAACAGTACGTAGGCTCCTCAAAAATATGTAAAATGTAATTTACCATGTAACCCAGCAACCCCTTTTCTGGGCATTTACTCAATAAATTTGATAGCATTTACTTATAAAAATACGCTCACCCTTATGTTCATTGTGGTACTACTCATGGTGACCAAGATGTACAAATTGATGAAGATGATTGGCTAAAGAAGATGCGGTACATGTATTCAATGGAATACTACTCAGCCATAAGGAAATATAAGATATTGTCATTTGCAACAAAATGCGTGAATCCTGAAAATATCATGCTAAGCAAAACATTTCAGACCAAAAAAAGCCTAGAACCATATGATTTCACCCATTTGTGGGATATAAGACTGAAAACAACAAATAAGCAAACAATAAAAAGAAACAAAACCTCATACACAACAGTATGAGAGTTGGCTACCAGGGGGAAAAGAGAGTGGAGAGTAGTAAGGGGTAACGGTGCCCAAATACATGGCAATTGAGGACAATTTGATTTTGAGAGATGCACACACAATGCAATATACAGTTGGTGCATCATAGAATTGTAAACTTGAAATCTACACAATCTTTTTTAGATATTCCATTTATTTTTTTTTAGAGAGAGAGGAAGGGAAAGAGAAAGAGAGGAAGAGAAACATCAGCGTGTGGTTGCCTCTCATGAGCCCTCCACCAGGGACCTGGCACACAACCCAGGCATGTGCCCTGACTAGGAATTGAAACTGTGACCTTTTGATTTGCAGGCCTGTGCTCAAACCACTGAGCTATATTAGCCAGGGTGAAACCTACATAGTCTTATTAACCAATGCCACCTCAGTAAATTTAATTAAAATATATATTTAGATTTCATTTGATAAACATTTAGTGAACCTCAGAATGATCCTGTAGAATTTCTATCTAAAACACTCATTTTAAATTAAATATTTTGCTTTTGACTTTTTTACATTATTTAAGTACAGCTTGGAAATGACTGACATAGGCTTTTAAACTCAAAAGTTACTGAAACAGGAAATTAAGACATTTTTATTTTTAAGAACATGTAAACATTGTTTGGAATTTTGAAAATATTATTTTTAGTTGAATAACATGAAATGGGGTAATGCTACTCAGCCTAGACAGGTAATTGAATAAATACATGGGGATTTTTTTTTAAGCTCTGTTGAAATCTTAGAATTTTTTTTACATTCCTTTAGTCCAAGTGTCCCCTGCACTTGTATAAATCCCTGTTTTTCATCTTGGTTTTGGCAAGCAATAATTTCTATATGCAGGCTGCGTGAAAAGATGGGAGTGACTAGAGGGATTATATATGCATAATTGAGTGTGAAAATCACTAGAGATGTGCAGGAAAGACTTCAAGGGATAAGCAAGAATAATAATTTGAAGTGTTGCAAATGGATGGAGGTAAAGAAAACTGGCGAAGAATTTGCAGTTGAGGGCATTTCACCAATTTTTGGTAGCTAAAGTGAAAAGAGGAGAAACAGTTGAATGTAACATGTTTCATTGGGTTTGTGTATGTGTGTATATATAAAATTTATAGCGTAATAGGTGTCTCTTGATGAAAATTATTGTTCTCTCTCTTTTGCCTTAAAAGCTAACACTGTAATTGCATTTTCCTCCCCTATTTTCTTACCAGTCTGATTGCTGGTGTCACCAGGATAATCTAAAAAAAAGACTTGTAACAAAGCAGGCATGAAAAATTATGAACCTTAAAAGAGCATAAGATAGTCACTTTATACGACAAGAAAAATCATGATTAAAAAGTTCCAAAATAAAACTAAGAAAAATGTGAAGCTGACAGAAGTCAGAGAAATAGTAAGCAGACAAGAAATCAAGATCAGTGAGAAAATCTAGAGAACAAAGACTAGAAATAAAAGACACATAAGGGGCATTCTTCCCTTAGGAAACTAGTCTTCTGATAAGTTACTTTTTTCCTTACAAGGTTAATAATTTGTATCATAACTCCAGGGCCTGAAAAAAACAGCATCTGAAATGTCATAATAAAAAAATAAATTGGCATCAGAAAATAGTCTGTAGAAAGCTAGCAATTGTAGTTATGTAGTTATAACTATTGTACCTGTACTATATATACATATCTATACATAAGTGAGTATTCCTGGTTGAATTTATTTATAAATTTGAAAAAAGAACACAATGTTACATGCTCTTATACATGCTAAGAGGGAAAATATAAAGGCAGTTAGCACTTAACTTTCTTTTAACCATTGTACATACCATCATATATTGTTAGTGTTAAAGTTTCTTGGTTTCTTTTTATGATTTGGCAAATATATTAAACATAATATCCAATTTAATTATGTTTAAGATACTTCTCTGTGATGTAGTACAAGCAAAACATGTTTTTGTGTCTTCATTTTCTAAAACCCGAAGATCGATAACTTTTTTAAATTTAGTACAACAAATGCAAAGTTTCATGAATATTATTTTTCTACAAGTGATGGATATACTTTCAAGGTAAAAGTACTTTTGGAAAAGTAAAAAAGAAAAGCTAAAATTTATGCAAGTGTTAAAGATTCAAACTTTGAATCTTTGAGAAAAGTAAATTAATAGTTGTCAAGATATCCCTAAGAATTGATATAATCAGCTATAAAACTAACCATATTACTGTCATATTCAGTTTTCTATTTCTGAAACTGGACATTTCTTGGATTTTCTGCAAACTGTCTAACTTCATTTGCCTACTTAGAAATAAGCTTGGTACTACATAAATCCAAAAATTCTGGCTCTACAATTTTAAGGTGCCATGTGATTGTTATGCTTGTCTGTCTATCCATACAGACAAGCTATCAGAAAGTACGCATAGAATCACACAAGGCAGTTATTTCTACAAATACATTAGGCTGTTATTCATTTCCTCATTTTAGGATAAATACAGAAATGATGTGCTTCTTAAATTGTCATATCGGTTTAAATAAAAATGTGTTTTCCCTTTTTTACTTTATAGTAAAAAATATTTCCAAATATTCTCTCACTTAATACTACATTCAAAATTTACTGAAACCATATTATTAGATAAAATTGATCCAAGTGTTTCCAAAGATGGCACTCATTACTACTTTAATGAGAACCATATTTATGCAAAGGAAGGAATAAATCAAAAACATTTATAATGTAAATAGGAAATACTTGTGGAAATAATTATGGTAACATGGTTTACATGCATTATGGGATAAGGCATAAATATAGGATTTTAATTTTTTTCAATAATGTACAATATATTGGCATAAGTACATGAAGAATTTGGTTGCTAAAAATAGAGAATTGACCCATGACAGATCTTTACTGAGTTGTCAAAACTACACTCCCCTGATGTGGGATGTTAATGGTGGGGGAGGCCATGCATGTGTGAGGAGAGGCAATAAATCAAAATTCTGTGTATTTTCTGCCAGTTTTGCTATGAACTTTTAGCATTGCTCTAAAAATCATTTAAAAAATGTTCCCTAGCACTTATAGACATCTTCAGTGTTTATGAGTAAACCTTGTTAAAATGTTGTCAAAATAAAAATCAAACGTATACTAACTTCATAGCAATATTTCTAAATAAATAATTACAGGAGATCCATTAATAGGATGTATTAACTATTAATATAGTTAAATAATACAATCTAATATATTGTATAAAGTATTCCAATGTGGAACCAATGTGACAGGTATAAATACATGGAGTAAAATTTCTGCTTAATATTTTGCTTAAATGGAAAAATACTTTGTATTTATTAATGTTTGTATATATAGGAAGTTTTCTGTTAGAATGAAAACTGCTCCGATATGAACTAGAAAACAGTTTTGTGAAAAAACAAAGGGATAATGAGGATTAAAGCACCAGTTACAGAATAAGATACAAAATGTTCATGATCCAGAGGTATTTACCATATTATTTCTGAACTACATGTTAAAATACTCTGTCCACATACTCTTTCTCTCATAACATTGTACTCATCTTTATAGATAATTCTGAATCCATAAAAATAAGACTGCAGTATAAATTCTAATATAAATTCTTAAGTAGTTATAAAACTTACATGCTTTGTGAAATTTTTGTTTAACATCATGAATAGTAGATGTTTGCGTCACCTGTAAAAAAAGAAAATAAAGTTATAAGGAAAAAGTGTTTATCCATTAATCGTACGTTTTTAATAGGAAAAGATAATATAGCATTTTTGAAATATAAAGTTATTTCAAAATAGTCTGCTTATTTTGTTTAGCTTTTTAGTCATTTTTGCTTTAAAAATTTGACACCATAATTCTATACACTTTTTCCAATATTTTAATTTAAATATAACAACAATGGTGTTATTATGAGTTCATCCTAATCTATATCTCTAAATTAAAATTTGCATTTTCTCTGCTATTAATATTCAATTTCTGGTTTTCACATAAATTAAATTATCAATTAAAAGATGAGTAAGTGCACATGACAAATAGAAAATAAAGTGTATAGAAGATAAGGCAAAAATAGATTTGCAGTTGTCCATATGAAAAATAATGCAATCATTAATAAATAACAAGAATGAACTTTGTGTTCTGTGTACTCACAGCTATAAACTTACTTTTCCCCCACCATTTATATAGCAGGGTAGCCTTGAGATACAAAATTACTTTATATGGACTAAAAGGGAAATATTTATTTAAAATATCACCAGAAAAAAACGATCTAAGACCCCTTGTTAGTTACTAAAGCTTCCATCCAAAATTGCTGTTAGTTCACCAAAATCCATGTTACATATATTATTTGGGTTCTTTAAGTGCATGGTGTTTTGACTATTTGAAATATTAAAATAAATTGAACAAAAATGTGTTTTTTCACTTAAATTGGAAAATTCCTGAGGATAAATGTTCTGTCAAAGCACCTCAAGCCATTACAGTACTATTTTTTAAAGATTTCACTTATTTATTTTTAGAGATGGAGAAGGAATGGAGAAAATGGAGAGAAACAGATGTGAGAAACATCAATTGCTTCTTGTAGGTGCCCTGGTTGGGAATTGAATAAATCTATGAAGGCTACCCCGTCTGGAGCAATTTTAGACAAATATAAAAAGAAAAAAATTAAATATTTCCCAGTGGTATCTGACCTATGACCCATGGGCAATATACAGACCACAATGGTTTCGAATATGGCCCAACACAAAATCATAAATTTACTTAAAACTTGATGAGACTTTTTGTGGTTATTTGTTGCAATGTATTTAATGTATGACCCAAGGCAATTCTTCCAGTGTGGTGCCCGGATGCCAAAAGCTTGGACACCTCTGTTAGACAATATTGCTGAATTAGGTAGCTGCATGTGCTTAATCAACTTTTCAGGCCTTTAGTTGTATTCAGAGCACAAAATGAGGAAAAGATAATAGAGTATGATTACTAACTTGATTACTAACTTCATATGATTACTAATTATGATTACTAACTCGACGCCTCAGTAGTTTTATCAGAAATATTTCAATTAATTGCGCAGATGGGAGAAATACATATCCTCACATTTGAAATCCTGAAATTCTTACTAACATTCTTCTTGTCAGACAAAATTATTCTTAAAATGTTAAGTAGACAAGTAAACTATGTTTTTTAAAAAGTTGAAGCAAAACTTTACTTCTAAATTTTCAGAGCTAATGGTTGAATTATGTCATTATCATTACTTTATTTAACATTTAAGTTGCTGGATTAAGAAAAAATATTTTCACAATCTAGATTCTGAGTGAATTTGCCCCATTCAAAGTTCCTGCAATGTTTCACGTATACAAAAATAAAATATATCATTGTTACTTTTAAAACTTAGTCACTTTTCAGGAACTCCTTGAAATGAAGAGAATATCTTCAGAATACTGTTTATCCAATTTAGATAAATGAAAATTAATTAGTAATGAAAAACAAGAATGACTTGAAGTTCATTTGACTAAGACATTGAAATATGCATTATGAAATTTGTCAGTAAACGTTGTGAAGAACTGTGTTGACCAAGGAAGACACAGACAGGAACAAAATACACAATAAACTGAATAGAAATAATTAGCTCTAGAGCTGGGAAAATAAACCAAAATCACAAAATAGCCATTGCAGAGCTTCTAACTGGCAAGAGCTCTCTCTTACTTTGCAAACAAAAGAAAGATAACGAAACTAGCCTAGAGAATAATATTTTAATATGGTTTAATTCAGGAAAGTGGGAAAAGTACTTCTGAGAATTTCCATTACAATGTTTTAGATTAGTAAATGGAATATGTGTTTGCCTGTATATTATTCAAAATAGTAGAAAGTTTTCTAAGTAATCAAATATTATGTTACTAGTTTATTATCTTCAGATTATAACTAAATTATAAAATAAGCCATCTATATGAATAATTGTACAAATTCAGAATATGTATGGAATTTTACAGAGTATCAAGAGTTTCTGTTATGAATAAAAAGAACACACAGTATAAATTTGAAAAACTTAGTATTAATAGATGTATTTTTAGCTTAACTAGACTTTGTTTACTGTTTAATAAATTAAAAAATAAACAATCTCAATTGTGTTTATATACCACAATGAATTATTTAAAATCAATTGATTTATTCATAACTATACATACATATAAACACACATTTATTTTAAATTTCTCTATAACAACTTTTTAATACATATAGCAATGACATTTGGTTATTGTCTTTTCAGTTCAAAAAGAAAATAATAGCATTAGTATATAAATTTATTTTTTGAAGATATTCACCATACATGTTAAAAATATATTAATCTAAATAATTCATTTTTATATAAATACTTCTGTTCACGATAAATTATTTGTAAATTTTATTTAAGGATATAGCTCAGACATTAATGATTTTATAATAAATATAAATATATATGAAATAATGACCTATTTTAAATACTTCAAAAATTTATAATAAATATTAGTGTTTGAAATTCTAACACAATATAAAAAAGAGGTATGTTTTATAAATTAGAAACTAATTCAGATTTTGAGAACATGAAATATGTCACTATAAATTATCTTTGTGGAATATTCTTAGAATATATGTTTACAACCTAAATTAGAATACTGTAGGGCTGGATGATGTAATAAAGACCATAGAATTAAGAGCATATTTTTAAGAATAAAGTAAATCCTAGTGGAGTTAACATTTATAAGTACTTCTCAAATTATTTTTATTATGCTTTCCTATTGCAAGTTTGTGAAATGTATAAAATAATGCTTTTACTCAGAAAAATGTACATGTTCCATGATATTACTGAAATTAATAAGGCAGACTAAGCCATATGAAATAAATTCTGTATAAACAGTAAAGGGCCATTTTAAATAAAATAATATTGGCTCTATGGAATCTAAAAGATAATTACAAAAATATGTTAAAAATATTAGTAATCAAATGAATCACTTTTCCCAAATAGTCACAGGTATTATATGAAAATTAACTGCAGTGTGAAGAAACCAATTAACAAATGACTGGGTCTTATTAGTTTACTACCATTGATTAATTATTAGGCTTCATGGTCAAAAAAGAAACTACATTTATATGTGCATACTTCAAATTAATTTATTCTTATTTTTATGTAAAAGTAATATTTTCTTAAATGCAGAAATTCTATATCATCAAAATGTAAATGCAGATGAAACTAGAGGGAGAAAATATGTGGCAATCTAGTTTAAATTTTCTTAATTATAATCTATAAAATATTTCAGGTTCATATTAACTGATATAATTGCCTAGTGATGTCCAAAATAAAAAGGCTTCTTAGAATCAAAAGGATTTGGAAGTCTGTTGAACAGTTATTGATTAAAATATAATTGGTTTCTTCTTGCTGATTTACAGTAAAAATGACAGGGACATTTGTCAAAGTCCCTTTGTCTTCAACTGTAAATGGGAAAGATAACTTTTATACATACTTGAAATTATTATTGCTATAAAATACACATTGAGTAAAGGCACAAATACGGTGAAAATAACAATGAATGACACTGATAGTAGTGGGCTTGCTATCAGTAGGACTTGGGAGGAATATTGAAATAATTGTTATTATCTATAAATCTGCTTTGTGTGTGTGTCTGTATACTACTTATTAGAAATAAAAGTGTATTTATACACTATTCTATTCTATTCTAACTATATTATTTTGATCATTGCAAAAATAACCACAGTTTTTTCCAGATTCTTCCATCAAGAGGTAGAATTTTTTTTCCCCAGACCTTGAGTTTATCCTGGCCTCTGATGCACTTTAATGAAAAACATGTTACAAGTGAGGCTGTGCAAGTGACAATTCTAAGACAAGAAACCATGTATTTCTACTCTTTCTGATAACCCCTGTGATGAGCGCCATATAGAGAAACCCGAGCTTCTTCCCATGTGACGACAGACGCCTGTCCTGTTAGCTATGCCCCCAGCTAACTCCCTGGTGAGGGTGCCCCGGCTACTTGGCAACCGGCTGCAAGTACTTGTGAGTCCAGCAGAGAAGTAAATCACACACACACAAACAGAATAACGAGATAAATAAATTGTCTTTGTTTTAAGCTATTAAGTTTTTGAGTAGTTTGTTCTCAAACAGTAAAGAACTATTAAGAATATTAATCATTTAGAACAGTGATTTTAGCCTTTTTCATCTCACATCATCAAAAAACTAATTAATAATTGTGTGGCACATCAAAAATATATTTTTGCTGATCTGAGAAAGGTATAGAATAATTTTGATTTATTCAAACTAGATAGCTATTGTTTTGCTCATTATTATTATCTCATTGGACAATATAAGTGAAAACAGGTCATGCCTCTGAATAAATAGTCTAGTATTGCATGTTTTAAAAATTATTCTGGTATAACAGTTTGTGTGGCACACCAATTAAATTGCTGATTTAAGCCCTGGCTGGCATAGCTCAGTGGATTGAGCACGGGCCTGCGAACCACACAATTGCGGTTCAATTCCCATTCAGGGCACATGCCTGGGTTGCAGGCCAGTTCCCAACTGGGGAATCAAGAGAGGCAACCACACATTGATGTTTCTTTCCTTCTCTCCTTCCCTTCCCCTCTAAAGATAAATAAATAAAATCTTCAAAAATTTTTTTTAAAAATTGCTGATTTAGGGGACAAAA